CACCTGGTGGTACCCCGACCGAAGGTCGAGCTTGGTGAAGAAGCGCGCCCCGTGTAGCTCATCGAGGAGCTCGTCGACCACCGGAATAGGGAACTTATCCTTAAGTGTGATAGCATTAAGGGCACGGTAGTCGATGCAGAAACGCCATGTGCCGTCTGACTTGCGGATGAGAAGCACCGGCGCAGTGAACGGCGGAGTGGAGAGCCGGATGATGCCGACTGCGAGCATGAGCACACACTGCCGCTCCAACTCATCCTTCTGCAACTGCGGATAGCGGTAAGGGCGGACCGCCACCGGCGCGGAGCCTGGCAGAAGATGTATACGGTGATCATACGTGTGGGCGGGCGGCAGCCCCTGTGGCTCGGTGAAGATGTCATCATGCTGCTGTAGGAGGCTCTCCAAGAGTGGGTGCTCGGCCGTTGCGGTGGTCGCGGCCAGCTGTAGGGGTGGTGAGGGTGCGGCACCCCCAATGTCGTCCCACCGAATGCGGCGGTCCAACCGCCAGAAGGTCATCGTCAGCGCATCGAAATCCCAGAGAATAGGACCAAGAGTGCGCAAGAAGTCAACACCGAGGATGAAGTCGAAGCAGCCCAAGTCGATGCCGGCGCAGGTGATGGAGAAGTGCTCGCCGCCGATAGTGATGGGCACGTCACGGGCGAGCCCATGGCAGTGGAGACGGTCGCCATTAGCGACTGTGACTCGCAACTGCTCGGCGCCGGTGGGCTGTAATGCAAGGCGCCGCATGGTGGTCTCTGGCAGGAAGTTATGAGTGGATCCCGTGTCCACGAGGGCCACTAAGCGCTCGCCCTGGATCATGACCGGTAAGAGCATCGTCCGTTCATCACGGATACCGGCCAACGCGTGTAGGGACACCACGAGAGCGGTGGCCGGGGCGGGCGTGGGCGCCGCTGCGGTCTCCACAAGGGCTGGGGCGCCGAGGCCATCCTCCAGAGTCTCCTCGCCCGTCTCGTCTGACGTCTCCAAGTAGAAGAGGCGGGGACAGACATGGCCCGGTGCATAGGGCGCATCACAGTTGAAGCACAAGCCCAGGCGTCGGCGTTCCAGCTGTTTCGCCTGAGTGAGACGCCTGAATGGCTGCGTCGGAGCCGGGGTGGCCGCCGGGGCGGCCGTGGACGGCGTCGGTGCTGCCGGAGACGGCCGAATAGGCTGTCGGCCCCCACGTGGCGCGGATGGACGCGTCAAGGCCTGGGCGCGTTGTTCGAACGCTCGGGCATAGTACATGGTCGTCTGAAGGTCTTGGGGCCCCTTCATCTCGACGTCCACGCGAATGTGGTCGGGAAGGCCACCGATGAAAAGCTCCGCCCGCTGCAAGGCCGTCACACCGGGCGCGTGGCACGCCAGGGCCTGCAAGCGGTCGGCGAAGTCTTGTACCGTGGAGGTGAACGGCAGGCGGCCCAACTCGGCCAGGCGGCTCCCGCGGACCGGTGGCCCGAAACGAAGAAGGCACAGCTCCTGGAAACGATCCCACGGGGGCATGCCGCCCTCGTCCTGCTCGAGGGCGTAGTACCATGTCTGGGCGGCCCCGCGGAGATGGTAGGAAGCCAGCCAAGTGCGCTCCGACGCAGGCGTGCGCTGTCCGCGGAAGAACTGATCACACTGGTTGAGACAGTTAAGCGGGTCATCAGAGCCGTCGTATGTGGTGAAGTCGATCTTGGCGAACCGGGGCGGCTGCTGGTGTGGCGCGCCCTGGCCCACTGCCTTGGCGGTGCGGAGGGCGGATGATGGTGCGCGGTCCATGTGGGAAAGCCCGGCGTAGTTCCCGGTGGCGCCCGACGCCTCGGGCTGCAACGGAAAACCGGACGGTGGACGAGCCTCCGGGTAGGCCGAGGATGGCCCGTGGAGCCAGCCGGGAAGTGGCGAGGGTGACGACGGGAAGCGGACCTCTTGGATCGGAAGCCCTCTCGGCGACGACCGGCCCAGGTTAGGGCTGGGCGGGGGCGGTGGAGGACCCTGTTCCAGGGCCGCTGGCAGGGATGGCGTGGCGTGAGACGGCACGGGCGGCGCGGTCCAGGTGGGCCACTACGGCCCCGTGGTGGCGGCGAGTGGCGCGGTTGGCGCAAGCTGCGGCGGCCATGGTGGCCACAGCGACGGTGCGGCCGCCTGGGTGGGGAGCACCGGGTAGCCTCCGGTGACGGCCCCCGGTACCGAGTACCACGGCAGCGCCTGCTGAGTTGCGGCCATGGCTGGATGGAGTGGTGGCGGCGGCCCGTAGGGACTCGCCAGGTAGAGACGGATGCCTTGTACCGCGGCGACGAGGTCGGTGAGGACGCCGGCCATTGCCTCCGTTGTGAGCTGCGTCTGCGGGGGAGGTGATGGCGGCGGCGTAGGTTGGACGGGGGCTGGTGGCCGCCCGTGGCCCGGCGCGGTGCCGGGTGCCTGGAGGGGCGGCGCCGAGAGCGACGCCGTGACGCCCGCCAGGAGTGAGGCCGTGGTGCCCGGCGTGGAGGCGGCGGCGGTGGAGGAGTTGGCGGCAGCGGCGGTGGTGGAGTAGACGGGTAGCTGCGGTGGATGTGGAGGTGGAGATGACATGGTCGAAACCCGGGTACCTGATACCAAATTGATAGGGCTAGGGTTCCTACCGGCTCTACTCCGTAGGTTATACGGGCAGAATAGCGAGGGTTGGGGGCGAGGGCGGCGGCTCCGGCGTGTTGGCGCCGTCGCGAGGGAGAAGAAGGCCGGCGGCGGCTAGGGTTTGGTGCGGCTAGGGTTTCCGGCTCCTCTGGAGCCGGGCAATATGATAGAACTATCTTTATTGCTTAATATCAAACGATGTCTTACAACTAGTATTTATAACTTTAGCCTAAAATAACTTTCCTAAAATAATTTGCCTAAGATAACTTGTGGGTCAAGCCCCTAATACTAAGGCCCGGTGGGCCTCTTTCGGTTATAGACCAAACCGGTCATAACAGCGTACCCGCCTATTTATATTGCAAAAGTAGAAATGCTAAAATGCTGTCGACATACATGAGTTTTTTTTTGTTTGAGGGGTGACATACATACATGAGATTTGTCAAGTATAGATCAAGAAAACCAGTCATGTCCAAGCAATATACATCCGTCCATGCATGCCTGCAAGCACAATTTTTTTTGTGGGAATGCAACACAACGTTTTTTTGTGTGGATTTTTTAGGGGGTTTTATTGATGAGAATACATGCAGCACAGGTGCTCAACACCGGACAAGAAAGTATCGTATTGCGTCGTGCCGCCTCTGGCATTTCCTTTTTTCTTTAGGCAAGCCTCTGGCATTTGCTCCCCGGTAGTAGTATCACCGGGCCAAGAAGCCCACAGGGTTGCCCGCCCGTGAGCCCTTTGCCTCGGCCTTTTCCAGCTACTTGCGGCTGCGTGGAGGGGAGGCTTGCACTTCCCGCAGAGATTAGTCCCACATCGCTCCCTCGACGTCTACGGCGCTCGGAGGGAGCAGTATATAAGGAGGTTCGAGGCGCCCATTTGAAAGCACGCAGCTGCGCAGCGGGCACAAAGCGAACTATTCTTTCGCCTTTTACTAAAGAATACCGTGTGCACACTGCAATTAGCAGCATACCCTAATTTTTGAAGGGGATCCTCTTATCTGGAGGCCCCCACAATCAAAGAATAATCATTAGCTAGTTCTGGTTCGGGCATTTTAGTCTCAATGCCCAGAGTCAGACAGTAGCCGCCAACTGGGGTGTATCCACTACAAGAAGCAAGTTCCTTCAAATAAGGAGCTCGCTGGATTTTGTGGAGCGAGGCAGGTGGGAGAGAAGGATTTGGGACTTCCATGGCTGCTGGTGGCGCCACCGGGGGCACTCCTCCCCGTGAATCCGGAGCCCGCATTCCCTCCGCGCGCAACCGAGGCGTCCAAATCGAATGCCAGGTGCCACTCTCATAGCTACCCCGACGCGTGAAGGAGGAGTGCCGCTCTGCTACCCCGACGCGTGAAGGAGGAGTGCCGCTCGCCGCCGAACGCGGTCCCCTTTGCCATTACCTCGACGGCGAAAGCAACAACGACATCTCTTCATCGTCCCGGAGCACCCTAACGACGCAGGAGTACGCCGACAAGGAGCGGCGTCGGTGGGACAGGCGCAACCCGGAGCTGGCTTATGCCTGGGCCCTGGACCGCTTCGTGACGCCCATTGTGACGAGCAAGTGTCTTCTCCGCCGCCTCGACTGGAGATGGCCAAGTACGGCGAGGAGTGGTCTCTCAGTGAGTTCGCCGCCGTCAACGCTGCCTCTTCCAAGGCCCGTCACCCTCTCCCCCCGGTCGGTGGCCGCGGCCGCGCACGGCGCCGGAGGAAGCAGCGAGGATCATCCGCGAGCGTTAGCCGGTTGCCAGGAAGCCCTGCCACGGCGCCGCCCCCTTCCTCCGCGCGAAGCCCAACTCCGACGACTCTAACGCCGGATCCAGCCGCGATGACGGAGGACCTGCCGGCCAGCCCGGCATGGCCTACGAGGTCACCGTCAAGTATATGGTAGTTTAGGGTTTTGTTTTGATATTTTTAGTTCACCTAACGAAATATCATCCGGTTTTATATAAAAGTTATCCTAGTTTAAATTAACTCTGTCCGGTTATGAAATCAATCGTGTTGGCATGTTCAAACAATACTTCAAATGTATGCGAGCAACGTTAGATAACGGCCTCAACATCAGTGTCCTTGGACTGGTCCCCTTGTCCGCTGCCTTGGAGATGCCCTAAGGGCCTGCATTATTGGATACTCCTAGCTTGCGGCCGCTTAATTAGATCCGCATGGAGTGAAGACCCCTTGTGCAACATCGTGGCATCCTACAACCCACAACATACGTCGACGTCTCGTAATTAGACCTTTCCATGCGGACGGCGTGTGAGTATATTAACACTCATCCAATCTCATCCAATAATAATACGGTAGGTGCTGATGCGTGGAGCAACATATCATTGACGCGCCTACATGTGCTCAAGTTGGCTTAGGCTATGACTGTCCCGCTCGGCGCTATATAAAACCCTAGAGCCACAGATCAACACATGCATTGCCCACTCACCAGTCACAAGTCACAACACATGGCTCCATCTCTCCGTCCGATGCATCTCGTCGTCCTGGTGATCCTTTCCACTATGCCCCTGCCTTCTTCGTGGGGTGCCATGTCCGACAACCATGACCTGCTGATGCTCGGCAGGTTCCACAGGTGGATGTCGACGCACAACCGCACCTACCCCGGCGCCCACGAGGAGCTGCGCCGGTTTGACGTGTACCGCCGCAACATGGAGTACATCGACGCTGCAAACGCGGGCGGTGAGCTCGGCTACGAGCTCGGGGAGAACGAGTTCACCGACCTCACCCACGAGGAGTTCACGGCACGGTACACTGGAGGTAAATTTGTCATGAACGACGATGATTTTGTTGATGAGATGATCATCACCACTCTTGCCGGGGATGTCCACGAGGGGCGCGAAACGATGGAGGACGAGGATAGCCTGGGACTTCCTGAAAGGTGGGATTGGAACGAGCAGGGCTTTGTTACACCGGCTAAAAACCAACAGAAATGCGGTAAGGCTGCACAATTCTGTGTTCATACACTTTTTTATACCTTGAATTTACGAGGAAATAATTTCACTTCGAGTCCTCATGGTAAGTAGCTTTTGTGCACGAAACTAACACCCTTTAATATTGTTTGTCCTAAACACTAATTTGCACCGGTTGAATACTGAATGGAACCGGGTAATACTTGACGACATGAAATAAACATTATTTGATTAGCAGTGCTCCTAAAAAATGAACATTTTTAAACTGTTTAAGATTTGAGAATATATAATTACTCCCCCCGTTTCAAAATAATTGAAGTTCCCTACGATTGATTATCCTAAGTCAAACTTTTTTTTAAGTTTGACCAAGTTTTAGAACAATCCGCAAACATTGTGATCTACAAAACCAAAAACTTAATGAGAACAACACTGGCGGCGAATGAGAAAAAGCATGGGAATGATTGAAATACCTCACTAAGCTAGAAACAAATTGATTATATACTGACACATACGCTCATCCAAAACACTCTTTTTAATGAAATAGGGGCCACCCTCTCTGGTTTCTACTCCCTCCATTCCTAAATATTTGTCTTTTTAGAGATTTCAACGAGTGACTACATACGAAGCAAAATGAGTGAAGCTACATTTTAAAATATGTCTACATACATCTGTATGTTGTAGTCCATTTGAATATCTAGAAAGACAAATATTTGGGAACGGAGGGAGTATTACAGAAACCATTTGGTTCATGTATAACACAAATTACTAGCATATATCTTACAGGGAGCTCAAGATCACAACGGATCTCTGGCAGACAGAAGCAGCAAACCTACAACAAGTAATGCCCAACACCGTGATAACCGTTTCACCAGCCAACCCCAAACTCCAGACTAAGTTTAAACTTCGAATTACATCAAACATGACAACAAAAATAACATAACTAGTAAAGCAGAGATAAGAAAAACAACAAAAGGTGGATGAAGCTGGTGCAAAAACTTACGCAGAAACCAATAACAGAGCGTTATGCCTGCAAATTTTTAGTCACCAATCCGCAAAACGCCTTGCCTTCACCCCTATGATGTGCGATAAACTTCACTTGCTACTTGTTCTAGCAGTCTTGCCCTCAGCATAAGCAGCCTCCGATTTTCCTCCTTTATCTGTAGAATTGACCAGCCGGAAATCCAATAGCCAATCATTTTAATCAAATTCAATTGACCATTGATAATTTTTCTCTCAGAAATCACATCATTTTTGCATCTCCATATAGACTAGAAAACAGCAAAGGCCAAAGACCCCCTGCTAACACCAATTTCTTTTCATTTTTTGGATTCTTTTTAATGCAGTTCCGAAAGCATGAATTTAGGTCGGTAGGGGTTGAATGTAAACTAAAGGCACATTTCAGAAGACTCCGTATCAATCGAACAGCTGAATATTGAGAAAACAGATGATCAATACTCTCATCTTTGCCACAGAAGACACACTATATAAGTATATATACATCTCGTAAAAACATTATATGTATTGCAGGAGCATGTTGGGCATTCGCCACAGTGGGAGCAGTTGAAAGCCAGCTGAAAAGGAAAACCGGGGAGCTACTGGATCTATCTGAGCAGGAGCTACTAGACTGTGACACGACACAGAAACCCGGCGGCTGCAAGGGTGGGAATCCCTACAGGGCGTTTCTGTGGATAAAGAGCAAGGGAGGCATCATGAAGGAGGCCGAGTACTCATATGAGGCACAACAGGGGCAGTGCAGGACCAACAAGGACGCCACCCGTAGGGGCCTGGTCTACCGGGCACAACTACTGAGGTCAGGGGAGAGGTTTCTGCAGGAGGCCGTATATACGATGGGCCCGACGGTCGCCGGCATCGACACGCACGACCGCAGCCTGCAGCACTTCAAGAGCGGCATATACAAAGGGCCATGCGGCACTGCGCTGGACCACGCGGTGCTCGTGGTGGGATACGGGGTCAGAGACGGGGAGAAGTACTGGGTCGTCAAGAACTCGTGGGGGCAGACGTTTGGCGAGAATGGCTTCTTCCTCATGAGCAGGGGAGCTAATGGAAACGCCGGGCTGTGCGGCATCGGGAAGGCGGGCGTCTACGCCCTCGTGTAGTACAGCATGCAGCATCAGGCTGGCATGCATGATGGGTGCATGAGACGGTCGTCTTCTACATCAACTCGTGGTATGCGTTGTGATGATATAATATACTCCTACTACGTACATGGCTTGTGGGTGTTGCCAAATAAGATGCAGTGTCCAGATAAGATGCACTGCTGCATGAAGAATGACACAACGAAGAGCTCATCGACCTGGTGCAGCAGCCAGCGGGGTTTGTTGTGTGACGTGATTTCGATTCGTGTTTGTAGTAGTAACTACTATACCCTCATATATACAATGAATGAGTCATGAGGCGTAGTGTGTAATAACTAATAAATAAATCAATGTTTTATTTCATCGTCCAAAGTTGGCACACTGCTCGATTAGTTCATGATACTACGAGTGATATGAGTTGAACTTTCTCCATTCATTTCAAGGGAAAAAACAGCTTATAGCAGTATTGACTTTTCATGATCTGGTTTCACTGCTCCTAAATAGGGGGACTAGCGAACAGGACCTGCAACCAGGAGCACACCAAAATCAGGCACGGCTTCGTTCTTAAAATCTCTCCCTAATAATAAAGTACGGATTGGGTCTTCGGATTCACCGTCGCTGCGTTTTTGCAAACAAGTCCCTCATCTTTTATGAAATCAACCCGCACTCCATATGGGCATCATCAACCGGGTAGAGGAAAAAAACACGTCGTCGTCGGTCTCGCACACGAAGGAGCAGTCCGTCTCCAACACGAACACGAGTGCGAACTAAAAAAGTCTATCTGTCGCTGATTTTCCCCTCATCCCTGTCTCTTCTGATCTCTCTCACCTCTCGTTGCTTTCCGCCGTCGACTGATTCCGAAAAGCGCCGCGCTCGACGCAGGCGTGCTCGCTGCCGCCGCCGCCGCCGCCGCGCCCCCGTCCCCCTCTCCCCGGTGCCTGTCCTCTTTCCACCGTCGCCGAATCCGGACGAGACCGGCAGGATCCGCCGCATCTCACGCCCGCGGCCCGCCGTGGCTTTCGGCGGCATCGGGGGCGCCGGTCCGCCCCCGCTCCTCCGGGGCTGGCAAAACGGCGGAGCGGCGCTCTGGTCAGGTTCCTCTGCTTCGAGGGCGGCGCGTGGGCTGATGTCGAGGGCGAGGCGGCTGTGCCTCTGCGTCGGGCGTTCCTGGACGGGAGGGTGGTCGCAGAGGCCGCGTATGGTGGCAGGGAGTTCCTGTTCGACTTCCTGTGGATGGTGCGCATCGACGCTGGCACCGCCGAGGTGGTCGCCATGGGCTGGATTGACCGCGGGGCCTGCTTCTTCCCTGTGCCAGAAAGCGGGAGGAAGAGGAAGAGGGGCGAGCATGAGCTGGGGGACGGGGCGTCGTCCGAGGTGGATGAGAGGTCCGACGAGAGCAGCGACATGGTGGAGTCCTCAATCCAGCCTAATCTCCTGCCACTCTCAAGCACTCCCCGTGCAGCAGGCCTGATGTGTAGGCTGCCATGGCAAGGCTACATCCATGCATTCGGTACTGCTATCTCCCCCCCTCTCTCCTGATTTGCCTCTTCCATTCTCTCATTTGATTTAATCCCTTGAGCATATTTTCTTATGTATGCCTACAACATGCTAGGTGATTGTCTGATCTACCATGTGATTTGCGCTTCATGCGAAGTCATGAAATCTGGTCCGGATAGTGACATGATTTACTCTGTTTGATCAAACAGGTAGAAGCCGAAGCTGTTTTACTTTAATCTGATGAAGTCCGTGCTGCTATAAGCTAGGAAATCGAAAAATTCAACATTGGCAAGCTGGTCTTGTGCTCTTTGTCTAAAAGCATATTCTGAAAGCGAGGTTCTTATTGTGGATGTTTCAGCGTCAACCTGAATTTTCTTTAACCTACTACAGAAAGACCTTCTAGGGTGATTAGCTGCAGTACTGTGACAAATAATCAAAAAAGATCATTGTCTTCTCATTTAATATTCTAGCTGCCGGCCAAACATTGAAAGTTGCACTACAACTACTTGATTACAAGTTTTATGTGAATTTTTTTTGTACAGCTTGCACAAACTCAGTGAGATCAGGAATCATCATCTCTCACATTTTTTCTCTTCAAAGGGAGGTGTCATCTCCTACATTTTTTTCTCAGAATCAACCATGTTTCTAATCCTAACCAGAAAGTTTCCATCGCTCGGCTCCTGATGGCATGATGCCTCATTTAAATTCTCTTATGTCATGGTGTTTGTATTCAGAAAATTAATTTATGATGCCTCATTTAGATTCTCTTATGTCATTGTGTTTGTATTCAGAAAAATAAGGCATGCTTATCTTATCTTGGTGTGTTTGTGCTCAGAAAATTAATTTGCTTATTTTTGCTTTTTGAGGGCTATAACAATAGATTTCATTTTTGAAAATCTGCTTCTTCCCTGTTCCAGAGAGCGGGATGAAGAGGAAGAGAGGCGAGCCTGAGCTGGAGTACGGGGCCTCGTCCGGGGTGGATGAGAGGTCCAACGAGAGCAGCGACAAGATGCAGGGCCAGCTCCTAGCCGCTGCGCGCGGCGCCGACGGGGGCAATGCCAAGTTCGCGTGGTATGGCGCTCCATCGGTGGATGTGGCCGCGGCGGCGGTGGAGCACGGGTTCGGCAGGATGAACAACCGGGTCCTTTTCCATCGCGCGCACGGCGACGACGTCCACCTCTCGCCGCCTCGGTCTCCTTATGCCAGGTCAGGTCAGAGTTCTGAATTTGTGGTTTTGATCGATGTCAAGCATGAATATAGGCATATAGCTGTAGGATAATTTATCAGACACAGTTACCAATTCAGGATCTGTTCCAAATTGCATTCATATTATCCCTCCGTCCCATAATATAATTGATTCCATGTTATTTTAGCCTTTGGTTTCTATATCTTGATTCATACTCCTAGCTCAAAAATTATGGGGAAACAAGTTTGCATGAACGACAGTATTAGTTTATCTATGAATGCAGTAATTTGATTGGGTAATGGTTTGTGGAAGGGAGGAATACGGGCAAAACTAAATCATGTTCCCTGCTACCTAGAGTCCGGGTGATGAAATATGTTCTGAATGTTCTGTGAAGCAGTGCATAAAGGAACTTATGAGTATGAAATCATTTTTATGCAGCGCAATGCTAGCAAATGCAGATGAGAACGGCGAGGCGCATATCATGTTGTGCCGTGTTCTGTTGGGCCGGCCAGAGGCCATCCCGGCCGGGTCCTCCAAGCTCCACCCCAGCAGTGACAATTACGACAGTGCCATCGACAACATGCAGAACCCACAGTGGTATGTTGTTTGGGGCAAGGACATGAACATGAGGATCCTCCCAGAGTACGTCGTCAGCTTCAAGTGTCCCAACCTCCATCAGATGCAAGGTTAGTGAGTGCTCCGTCTGAATTGGTGTTGTAATTGTTCCGAGATGTGCCTGGATCTCATGTTATTATTCGTTGAAATTTTGGGTTTCAGGATCATCGGGAGCGAACTCCACGCTAAAGAAGCCTTCGCCGGTGGCTCATGACATGTTTCCGACGCTTCTAGCAGAGATCCAGTGGTTCATGCCATCTTCCAAGAGGGGACCTACAATTGCTTCAAGGTAAATTGGTGGGGGTGCTTATTAGTATAGGGTGTGCCAATATAATAGCAATTACGGAAAGAAATCTAGAGAATTGGTCTCTGGCAGGGGGACTCTTGAGAATGGAAAACGGGGAAAGGGAGATGAGTTTGGGTGTCTTTTTTTATATATATAAAAAGAGAGTGTGTTTTATCTGTAAGTGAAGTGTGTACGTGAAGTGCTTTTTATTGGCTAAGCCTAAATGATGAAAAAAATAAAAAGAATCTTCCCAACCAAGCAACAAACTCTATTGATAAAAATCAACATAGTAAAAATAGTTAAAAAAATATACATAGTTATATATTTATCCACACTTTCTAAAAACTGGTCAAATTTTCCTTAAAAACCAAAATAAAAAGTATTCACAATATTTAAAAAACATTCAAATAATGTTCTCCCTAAAAAAATCGAGTTTTAATAAAACATTCACTTTTAAAAACAAAGAAATATTCATGTTTTTCAGAAAAAAGTAAAAAATAAAAATTGATTCACAAACTATTCCAAACTAATCTTCCATCAGATAAAGAACGCTAAGAGGGCTTTTTAACGTGCAAACTTCAGACTCTGAAAATAATAATTAATGCAACTTTATTACAAATGTTAAACTATAGTGCATAATATCACATGGATAAGGATGTATATAGATGGATTTTAAAGTGAGATTCACCCATTTCCACCGTTTGTAGTCCATATTGAAAAATCTTCTAAGACTTTATTTAGAAACGGATGGGGTACTTTGTTTGTAGTCTTTGTACAACCTGCTTCGTTCAGAAGAATGTTCTATCAAAGCAACCATGTCTGATATGTTCACATGAATTCTTTCATGTGGCCGTCCCTCACATTCCTTTGCTTTCAACTATTCCAGCCAGCTGCAATGAAGTCCTACATAGAGAAGGGTTTGCAGAAAATGATCTTGGCATCCCAGATAAGCAGGTCGGGGTCAAAGCCGGTGCCCGGGGGATTTCAATGGATCACCAACACGAGAAACTGAAATGGCATGACCAGAAAAGATGGTCCCAGATCTCACTGCAGCTGGATGTGCAAGAACACATCAATGATCATCTGTGAGACTGTGACACTGGAATTTTGTTGATGGAGCATTACCTCTGCTATTTAGCTTCTAGAGTACAATGACTTGTATGTCCAACTATAACAGCTAGCAGCATGGTTTATCCCCTTCTGGTTGTACAATTTCTCTAGAGTGATGGCATAGGAAGAGCATGTGTATATGTTGAGGTTAGTCTTCTGATACTAATGCTCCAGATGTTCTTTGTAAACTAATGCTGCAAGTGTTTGTTTGGGACAAGACAAATAGTGTCCCAATTTTTACGAAAATGTGAATTAACTTTTATTAAAAATAAGAAAATTACCAAAATTAACCTAATTATCGATGTTTATTTAAATTGGACATAAAAA